CTAATCAGTCAGCACCCGTACCTGAATCTCATGGGTCCTGTTGCCGCTCGCTAACACCTCGGCCACCGCCGTGCACTTCCGCCTGCATTCTCACTTTCACGTGCATCTCGACTTCTGGTTTGAGCAGTCGTTTCCATTAGAGCTGGGGTAGGCAATGGAGTTCACTTGATGGCGACTCACGGTATTCACAAGCTGAAATCAACTTTACCTGTAATCAGGAGGGTGCACGCGACTTGGGGAAGTCCCTCCGTTTGGCGTGACTTCAGTATGCTACAACGTCAACACCTTCTCAAATCCATATTATCTCATTTTTACACATTCCACGCGTGAATATGTTTTTGTCGCCATGCATCATCTCGGTTTTGCCATAAATTATACTTCTCGAACAAATTTTCTCCAAGCTTTTCGCATACAATAATCCGATTTTCACTCTTCCCCAAACCACTCCTTACATTTGCGATTCCTTTTGTATTAGTCAAGTTAGAGTTTACGGTGGCATATTTCCGTTCAAGGATCGCAGCGCAAGTGGCTCGTAAGACTGGGTATGGTGTGATCCGGTGGCGATGCTACTCTACTATTTTGCGAGCGCTGTCAAGTCGATACAGTTCCATGTGGACGATGACATCATCGACAAGCTCAACTACTACTACACTACTGCCATCATTACTGGTACGAAAGCTTTACTCTCTGCCTCGATGCTTTGATCATTACGCGAAAATCGTGTGGACACGAGTCGCGAATTTGTCGCGACCACGCCATTTAACTGCATTTTGGCGAGCGCATTTGGCGACGCGACCATAACTGAATCAGTCGACTCGCTATTACGAGCACGCGCGCACTTTGAAATGAAGAATCGCGACTTAAATTGGATTACATCACCGCTCGTCACTTTTGTGGGTCCAGTATGCCAGACTCTCCTTGGCTCAATAACTTTTAATTCCTAGCAAGTATAATCCTTTGTAGTTGAGACTATCTGACTATTTTTTGAAGTCGGAATTAAATTCACCTGACATGGATCGGCTAGCAGTTGGATTGCGAGCCTTCGCAAAAAAAAAACGCACTCGCTAAGATGCCACACTCGTCACCATCTCTTAATCTGTCGCTGAGCCCGCCGCTAAAAGCTGAGTGAAATGGAATCCTGACCGAGAACGCATCCAGCATTTGCAAATTTAAGCTCAGCAAAAGCTTTAGTTCTGAGAGAATATTTCTCATCCGTTGGCTGGACACGGTCGATTAACAAGATTTGGGCAGTTTTTGCTAAAATGAACTTCGTTGAGCGGAATACAACTGTGACAGTATATGGACAGACGAACGAAGATAAAAATGAAAATTCGGCGTTGAAATAATTTGTTCCAATTACCTTTTTTCAGTGTTCGCCATCCTTGTGTCAGCTAAGCAGTATGTTGGTGAGTCTTAATAATTTCATTGCACTCAATTTTTTCGATAAATGTTAATTTTATAGGTTTTCCAATCCAATGTTGGGTTCCGGCTACTTTTACCGAACCTATGGAACAGTATACGGAGAACTATTGCTGGGTGCAGAACACCTACTTTCTGCCTTTACATGACTATATACCGCATAATTATGCGGAACGAGAAAATCGACAAATCGGGTAATTTCTATGCAAATGTCGTTTACAGATTTTCACACAACCGTCCATCTTCTAGGTATTATCAATGGGTGCCATTTGTATTAGCCTTGGAAGCATTATTATTTTACGTGCCAACCATCGTGTGGAGGTTGTTGAGCTGGCAATCAGGTACTAGCATTATCAGACTCTGCTAGTCTCTTGCTCTTGATATCTGAACTGCAGTTGAAAAGTATATTCAGTAAACTGCATTCTTCGCAATGTTTTCCTCTCAAATTAGGAAGTCCTTGCATGTTCTTATTGTCTCTAATCCAGTATATCTTGAGTCCAAACCGTCGGAATTCAAGCTTTGGGCGCACCTCAGTCTATGTGTATTTGGCATCCTCATCCGCTCCAATCTCTCAATCTTGCTCCTTCGCGCTGTTTATCGCTGACCATTGGCGATAAATATTTACACTTTATTGCTTTAAGAAACCACCATTCAAACGTGTTTTTCGCGAGCACACGGCTATTATATGCTGAAGGGTTCCAGCTAAACGTGTCAAGCCGAGAGATTAGCAGTAATTCCCAAGAATATACATTCGTTTAAACTATATTAAAATTGAAGCTTTTTGTTGCTTATGGGGGCAAGTTCTAGCAAGGCCCTTCAAATTCAAAACCATCATTATCGATAAGCAATTATGCGATATTTCAGTAATGCGATAGGTTTTGCAAAACGCACTTCCGTAACCGCGAGGTTTGCCATAATTGCGCACATTTCTCAAGAGTGCAAAAATTTTTGAAGTATTCACACTTCCTCCTCAAACACTCACAAAATCT